GACTCTCCTGCACTTGCAAAAAAGTTGTAGCTCAGATGGAATCAAGTGCAATTTTGAACAACTCAAAACAAGAAAAGAAAGTTGGGGATAGGTTCAAATTAATGTAATTGATAATGTTAGCCTCATCCAAAAGCTGGTTGACTTGGAGCTGTCATCATTTGAACCTTATTTCAGCTAGCATTTAAGTTGTTACTAACTACATGATTTACATTTTTGGATATCACATTTGATTTTCAGCATGGAAGTTTCTCATTTCAGTTACCTATGTACATTTTATCAGATTCACTTTTGGTCAAGGCTGCAAGAGGTGATTGAGTTAACCGACTGCCTGCCTGGATGATGCGTCAAGCAGGAAGGTATATGGCTGTTTATAGAAAGCTTACAGAGAGCCCGTCCTTCCGGGAGAGGTCTGAGGCAACCGATCTCATTGTGGAAATTTCTTTGCAGCCTTGGGAAGCTCTCGGTCCTGATGGAGTTATTATTTTCTCCGATATACTTACTCCACTACCTGCATTTGGCGTGCCGTTTGACATAGAAGAGGTGCGTGGTCCGGTAATTCGGTCTCCCATTCGTTCTGAGTTGACTTGAAAACTTTGCATCCAATTTGACTATGAGAAACTACAATTTGTGGGAGAATCTCTTAGGATGATGCGGAAAGAGGTACTTCCGTAGTTCTTAGCACCTGCTTTAAAAAGATGGTTCATGCTAGTAGCTTCACACAAGTTTTCTTTGGCACAGTGTAGAATTTCACTGTTATATTTGAACAAGCTATCAGGTCGGGGAACGAGCAGCAGTTTTGGGTTTCGTGGGAGCTCCCTGGACGATTGCTGCATACATAGTAGAGAGGGGAACAACACGCACATACACAACAATAAAGAGCATGTGCCATACAGCACGACATGTATTAGGGGCTCTTCTGTCTCATTTGACAAAGGCGATAGCTGAATATATCATTTTCCAAGTGGTTGCTGGAGCTCATTGCATACAAATTTATCAGCGGAATATTCACTATACAATTTAGTTTCCATTTATAGGTCGCATAGAATCAGGGATATTATCGAGTGTATATTATCAAATATTTCCTTGTATAACTTTGTACTATTCTATAAATTGAATGTAATACATACTGAGAAATCATTCAAGCAAAACCGTGACATGGTATCAGAGCCCTAACCTTTTTTTTTTTCCGGTGCTTTCATCATAGTCAGCGAACCTGTGGTTGCCTCTTGTGATCTCGCCGTAGTTTCCAGTATCGTGTGCAGGTGGAGTTCTAAATTTCCAGCGCGACTAGGGTTGGGTTTGTTGGCGCATCAGTGAGTTCTGTTCAGAAATTCCTCTTTTCCGTCGTCATCGTCTGTGTCGTGCACATCCGTAAGTTCTGCTCGAAGATTCTTCTCCCTTCGTCGTCGTCGTCTGTGTCGTGCACCATTATAGAGTGTGATCAGAGATTCTTCTTCCTTTTGTGGTCTGCGTCGTCGCATGGCCAGAGGAGTTCTTTGCATTGATTGGGCTTGGGTCGTGTTATTTGTGCAGCCCGATCATTGATTATTGGGCTTGGGTTTGTTGGGCAGTGTTAATTTTAGGGCTTGGGTAGTATTCTTTATTAAATTTTTGTTGGTCCTATATAATCTTGTTGGGCTATTTTCTTTTGAGTTTGGGTAGAGTTACTTGGTGGATTGTGGCTAATTCATTTTTGGTTGACTATTTACTATTTTCACCATGTCAATTGAGAAGACTAACTCAATTTGCATTCGTTTTGTGAATTAAGGAAAGATTGGAAAATATTCTCTTCTCATTACTCCGTTGGAATAGATGATACACAATATATATATAAAACCTAGGAAACTATTTTAGAAAAGTATGTAAAAAAGGAATCTAGAATTAATTACAATTTATAACACTCTCCCTCAAGTTGGAGTATAGATATTGATCATGCTTAACTTGTTACAAAGGTAATCAACCCGAACCCCATTTAACGCTTTCGTGAAGATATCCTCTAATTGTTCTCCAGTCTTCACATACCCTGTAGAAATCACACCTTGTTGAATTTTCTCGCGAACAAAATGACAATCAATTTCAATATGCTTAGTTCGCTCATGAAACTCAGGATTAGATGCAATATGAAG